ATGGAGTTCTTGGAGAAGTTCTTTGAGAACTGTCGGGTCGAAAGTCGGGTTTAGGGTTTAGGGTTTAGCGTTTAGGGTTTAGGGTTTAGGGTTTAGCGTTTAGGGTTTAGGGTTTAGGTTTTAGGGTTCAGGATTTCGGATAACGGGGTGGGGTCTTGGGCTTCGGGTTTGAAAGACACGTGCGACGCTCTCGCAATCCATCTGAACAAGAGGTTGTGGGCGGAAAACCATATAGTACTAATCTTTAACTCTACAGCTGTAGTCCTATATCCTATGCTCTCAAGCCTACCCCTAGCTAACCTTATATCTCAAGCCGTAAAAAGCCAAAACCTGAACATAACAAAGGCTTAGAGGCTAAAGCCTAAAACCCTGTATGTACCGTATACCCTACATATTTTAAAGCCTGAGCCTGTTCCGAGGTACTTGCGGTCTTCCTTCGCAGTGTACAAGGCGAGAGCAAAAGTCGGCAAAGGGAATATGTTGTAATGGTGTCGCTCGCCTGACATAGCCAAGGTATAGGTAGACTTCTACATACCCTGTACATTACAGTTATGCATCGAAATCCTCAGTTTCGGACTTGTGTGAGTAGAGCTCGGGATCATGCACTTGATTTCAGATCCTTCGCCCTCACAAACCCTAAGCCCTAAGACGCACGATTTAGGATTGAGGGTTTAGGGAAGTATGCATCGGATGAAACTAATTTTAAATTCGTCAAGACCCTCAGACCCAACTCGCGACCAACATGCGGTCAGAGGTATTTCGGTTGTATCTCACTTCCCATCTCGCACTTTCCAAAAAGACCCGGTGACAAGTATGTGACGACCCAGACACGTTGTCACAGGTACAAAGAGAAATACAAAGACGCGTGCAACTGACAAGCAAGAATATGGACGTGGGATAAATACCATGCGACTGCAAAATACCTACAAAACCAAGGATAAAGAGGGTATCCTGGATGAGCAACAAACCTGTACATGGAGCAAGATACCCGGTTTCCCCAAAGTTTCATGAGTCTGTAACATATTTACATCTGTTTTGACCCAGAAATAGACATGTAAGGTGGGATGCTAGCAAGTGCATATATATATATATATATACACACATATACACATGCATATAGCTGTAGAGCCGTTGCGCCGTCAGCCCTCAAACCTAAGCCCCATCCCGCGTCAGAAATGAAAGCCTGAAATTGAAAGCCCACACCCAGCACATAAACTCCCATGTAACTTCATGTACGGGTAACTACTAGACAAGCAGGTGAACAAACACATCAGTTAACTAAACGACTCCAAATCCACCACGAAACCCTGACCCCCTCAACGCTGATGTAGACACCTTTGTAGCACCTTGTTACGCCCCACCAGAGCCCATTGAGGAAAACCCTTCTAGACACCTTAAAGATGACGACCTATAACCCCAAACACCAATTATAGAACCCTTTGAATCCCTAAACCCTACACCCTCAACCCCAGAGAACCTCTCTAAACCCACTAAACCCTACACCCTGACTAGAGAACCTTTTAATCCCTAAACCCACTAAGCCCAACAGAACCGTTTGAGTCCTAGACGGGGCCTTTGTCAGGAGCTGGCAGATGCTGCGCGGCGTCCCTGTGAGCTGCCGGCTCTAGACCCCAAGGTGCAAAAAGCTCTGCAGCCCCTGGGCTGTGTTAAGGTTTAGGGTTTAGGATGTTAGGGTTTAGGACGTTCGGGTTTAGGGTATTAGGGTTTAGGGTTTAGGGTTTAGGATTTAGGGTTTGGGATGATTTATAGGAGTCTGAAGGGTCTTTATGTTTGCTTAAGGTGCATGTAAGGCTTTAGTGGTTTTTATCAGGGTTTCGGAATGGGTTAGACTAGAAAGGGTTCTTGCAAGCGTTCTATGGGAGTTTGGGTTTCGGGTTTGGACTGTACGGTTTCGGGCTCTAGGGTTTAGGCTTTTGGGCTGTCGGATGTAGTGCTCTAGCTGTCAGCGTTTAGGATTTTGTTGCGCTGTTTTGTAGGCCTTGAAGGTTTGAAGCCGTGACTCGCTCATTTTTCTGGAGGTTCGTTTTGATGCGAGCGTTGGGGAAAGCAGAGAATATGATGATGTCATAGAGCATATAACCGTTGGGATGGTGATGGTGGTGATGTTGAAACCACCATGGTCAGATTGCTGGCACCCTAGACACGAGCGCCTAAACCCCAAACCCTAAATTCCCAAAGTCGTAAACCCGAAACTCTAAGGCCTGCGCCCTGAAGACCTAAAGCACTAAACCCATAACCCTATGGTCTTCGATTTAGGGTTTAGGGTTGAGCTGTGCATATCTGACGACAGAGATCAGAGATCGCGACCTTCTTTCATCTTTCGAGCTCGAAAAGCCAACTCCAAGACCCGGTGTCCAGAGGTCCAAGCCCTACATCGCAACAAGACATGGCCAGAACGAACACCCTCAAGCCTAGACTGTCTAGGGCCTAGGGTTTAGGGTGAGGATTACATGTAGGTTTCTGATACATAGAGGGGTGCTTATAGGCTCTTCATGGGATTACATGTAGGAACCTGGTTGTTTCTCGGGCCTGGACGCCCTGGAGCCTAACAAAAAGAGCTTCAGGTTTCGGGCGGCGGGTCTAGGTCTTACAAGGCCCGATGTTCTAAATCCACCGAAATGGGATCCCTGTTGAATCCCAGGGTTTAGGGTTTGAGGGTTTAGGGCTTAGGGCCCGAATCAAATCCGTGGACATCTTCATCAGGTTCCTACATGAAGCCCTCGCCCAGGCCCGGCGTTTGGAAGTCAATCTTCACCGCCCTTCCCGGCGATCTGAACGGGGGCTCAGGGTAGGCTTGCGAATTCCCCGAAACACCTAAACCTTAAACCCTAAACCCTAACAGAGGTCATTGCGGGAGTCTGAAGACCAGGCTGCCGCCGACTTCGTTGCAAGCCTTGGGCGGTCCTGAGGTGTCGCACTCCGCCTTTCCTGGATGTATGGCCTTCTTAAGCTTGCCCTAAACCCTAAACCCTAAACTCTAAACCCTAAGCCCTAAACCCTAAACCCTAAACCCTAAACCCTAGCTTGGTAAGAGACATCTAATCACAACAACCCGCGGCAAAGGGCTAGAACAGCTGGGTAGTGGTTGAATGGAGAGCTGAGACTCTTCTTTCTTTTAAAATTGGCTTTCCAAATCTTACACCTTACACCAAAACCCTAAACCCTAAACCTAATTTACGGCCTCTCTTTGTACTCGCATTTGGTTTTCAGGGGACCTCTGCTCTGGGTTTCCTGTATAAAACGTAGCAAAAGAAGCCAAGGGTTTGGGGCTGAGGGCTTGGGTTTTAGGGTTTACGCCCTAAATCGTAAATCCTAAACCCGAAAGCCCTAATCCCTACACCCTAAACCTTCGGCCCTGAATCCTAAATCATAAACCCCAAACCAACCCTGTGATTCCCCGATGCCAAACCCGAAGCACACAGGAAAAAGCCTTCAACAAGCTTGAAACTATGTTATGTACGTGTCTAGCTAGCTATCTGCGAACACATCCACCTAGTTTGTGCATATATGTATATGTGTGCATAGATGTGTATGTAATATGTACGTATGTGTGTATGTATGTATGTATGTATGTATGTATGTATGTATGTATGTACGTACGCATGCATGCATGCATGATCATGCATGCATGCATGCATGCATGCATGCATGCATGTATGTATGTATGTATGTATGTATGTATGTATGTATGTATGTATGTGAGTGTATGTGTATGTGTATGTGTATGTGTATGTATATGTATATGTATATGTATATGTATATGTATATGATGTTCTATATATATATATATGTACATAAGCGTTTCTACACATAAGTAGATCTACATACGTGTCCACAGTGTATATACAAGCATGTGTAAACACTGGCGCTCGGGGTTCTGGACCACGCAGCTTCTCGGAGGAGTGCTGTTCAGAGATTGCCCGTTGTCTTGAAATGGCGCCCTTTTATCGATGCAAAAGCATCGATCGACCGCCAGCAGGCCAACAAAAAGCGTTTCGGTTTAGGGTTTTAGGGTTATCTAGGGTTTTAGATCTTTACGGGTGCTTGGGGTTTAGGGGTGTTAGATCGACGGCCCGGAGCAAGCTTCAATAAATTCAGGAGTTGCTCCCGTGCCATGAAACTGCATCCTCTTAAACTCATTGGTGGAATTGGCAGCCAAGACGGGCCCATAAATCCCTAAACCCCAAACCCTAAACCCCACACCCCACACCCTAAACCCTAAGCCCTAAACACCAAACCCTAAACCCTAAACCCTACACCCCAAACCCTAAACCCTAAGCCCCACATCCTGAAGCCGCAACGGCGAAGTCCCCGACCCGAAGTTTGGCGTTTTGAGGTGCCAGTCCTGGCGGGATGCTTTCTTCCTATTCCATGAAGGATCCTAATAGCCGCCTTAGGGGTTTAGGGTTGAGGGTTTAGGGTCCCCCAATTCTCGATTATGTGTGCTTCTGGGGCCGGGATGCTGGTAAGCAACTCTTCAAATCCAAACCCAAAGCCTCAAGCCCCAAACCTTCGATCCTGAGCCCAAAAACCAGACCCTAGAACCTTGTAGAACCCTTACAGTTTTCATCTAGGTGTTTCAGCAACCGTTTATATGCTCTTACATGCAGCCATACCTTGAACTATCATAACCTACTTTCTTCTAGGTCCTTATTATGCATGCTAATATATATATATAGATATATAGATATAATTTATCTGGACCCTACAAAAAGTAGGTTTTGGTAGTTTAAGGTAGAGATTAAGCTTCAGAACCCTAAACCCGCAGTTTCTCTCAGAGTCTCCTTGGTCATCCTTAGTTCCACGACGCAGGGTCTCCGAACCCCTAGATCCTGAACGCTTAGGGTTTAGGGTTTAGGGTTTAGGGTCTAGACTCTGAGCCCTAAGCCCTAAACCCTGAACCGGGTTTCGGGTTTAGGGTTTAGGGGAACCCTGGATTCTGAAACCCTAAAACCTGAACCCTGAACCCCAAACAACAGGTCTCCGAAACAGGCCTCCGCTCACTGAGGCCATGGGAGCGGAAGCTCTTGCTTTGGGTTTTGGTACCTTAGACTACCATAAGCAATTACTCAAGCTGCTGTTTCGTAGGTTTTGATTAACACCCTACTATAGCCTTTAAAGGGATCCTACAAAGAAGTAGGTTCTAACTGTAAACCCTGCCTACTATTGACTTAACAGGGATGCTACACATCAAGTCAGTTTGGTAGTTCAAGGCAATATAGGGGCCTCAATAATTACCAACACTCCTTGGGGGGCTCGTTACAATAATAATAGACCCACTATCCCTATTCTAATTCAGGCCCCGATAGTAGAGTTTAGGGTTGAGGCTTCAGATTCAGGGGCTAGTAGAGTCTAGAGGGGTTCGGAGTTTGGGGTCTGGTGCTTTTGAGTTTATAAGGACCCCAAACCTAAAACTCAGAAGTTCTGAATTTTACTTCCCCTAGACCCCAACTGACTGCGGCGGCAAAAGCAACTCCGACGTCGGCAATTCAGAATCATTCCCTGGGGTGTGAGGTTGTAAGTAGGGAAGTATACCCCCCCAGAACCAGCAGACCACAACAAAAACACCGACAGAGTTCATCGCCTGAGGCCCGAAACTCTCAAGCCTAAGCCCTCAACCCCCTGGAACCCGCAAGCCTGAAGGAGACGTTCGTAAGCAAAGAAATTGTTTTTCTTTATTCGGGGCCGGGCCGCGAATCTCAGGGTACGGCTCCATCCTTCCGCGAAATCATGGAAACCCGCTTCCCAGGGCCAATCACCACATGCACCTCATCGATGATCCTTCCATGCTACACGAAAGAAAACTGTTCGTGTGGGTGTTGGAAAACGACGAGGTCTACACTGCACCTGTTCCCTCTGCGCAGCCTCGTGGCAGCGTGATTTGGGTGGGCCTCAACGCCTACAGTAGCAGCCAGCAAGTTGGAACATCAATATCCTCATGCCTTTGAGGTAAAGTCTAAGGGATCCTAGTACTAATCCTCCTAAACCATCCTAAACCTACGTTCCAACTTTCTGGGATTCGCTGCAAACCCTAAACCCTACACCCTAAGCCCAAGCCTCTAAAGCTTATATAAGCCTTCTGAAGCCTCAAGCCAAAACCCCCAATCCGAAACCCTCCTCACCCTAAGCCCTAAACCCCTAAAGCCCTAAACCCCCAAACCCGAAACAAATAAAGCCCTAAACCCCTAAAGCCCTAAACCCCTAAACCCGAACCCCTAAACCCCCAAACCCGAACCCCGAAGCCCTTGACCCTCCAAACCCTCAAGTCTAAAGTACCGAACCTCGCTGCGCAGTGGCCTCGGCGGCCCTCTGGAAGAGGCGGAGGCTGGGAAGTGAGGTGGAGCGTGTAATATAGGGGCCTAAAATAAGTACCAGTACTAGTGTGAGGGCTCCTTATCATCATAGTAGCACAATATAGCTCGAAACCCTTTTCTAATCATGAAGGCCCCCATGTTAGGGTTCAGGGTGTTACTTCTCGTAGGCTCCTCAGGCAATCCTAGCTTAGGTTTCAGGATAATGAGCCAATGCAAACAAGCCGGCTATGGCTGTATAAGGTGGGGGGCTACAGTGAAAGCCAGATGATGTTCGGAACATAATAACTTGTTATATTCCTCAACATAATTCAAAGGGAACCCAAACAATAACCATCACCAGCACAGGTTCAACTTGGCCCTTTTACGCAGGGTGTAGGAGAGGGTGTGTTTTTTACCATTGGGGTCCTTCCCAAAGGCTCCGGGCTTCCAGGGCCTCAACCCTGAACCCTAGTCCCTACATACCAAAAAACCCAAAATTTTAGGTTCAAATCATAAACACCCTAAGCCCTGAGACCGAAGGCCTACATGACCCTAAGCCCTAAACGCCCCAATCATAAAAGGATCCTACAAGATGAACTCTTAGCCCTACACCCTGAACCCCTGAAGCCGCGACCAGAGCCTTCGCGTGGAACCCAAAACCCTCAGGGTACAATCGGGGTAGGTCTAATTACCAATACTATTTCTGTAGAGTTCCTTAATTATTTAGTCTTACTATACTGCATCCCCGAGCCGCCCGAAGCCTTATTCTAAATATCAAGGCGCCTAGATCACATGTTCGAGTGCTGAAGGAGTGTTCTGTGAGGTTTCTAATGGGGTTCCGCAAGGGTTCTTGAAGTTTTAAATGCGTTCAGTTTCAAGGTTTACGGCTGCAGGGTTGAGGGTTCTAGAAGTTGTAAGGGCCTTTTGGGATTCTGGGTTGCAGTGTTAACGGTTTAGGCACTTCGCCCTTAAGGATGACTGATCTAGGGATCGGAACTATTACTTACAATATCCCCTTATTCCTATATTAATATATATATATATATA